TCAGAAAACTATTCATCGCATTCCATTCACGGAGGTGTGTAAAAGTTGAGGCAGAAGAATAATAAAAATATGTTAACAAGCAAGGTAAATTAAGCTTTAAAAACACAGACAACCTATTTACTAATAATAGATATCATATTGCTTATTCAGATGAAACAAAGTCAAAGGTTTTTAATCGACGGCGTGGGTTGAGATATATTTTTATGATAAGTACTTAAATTACAACATGTTAATGACAATTGGAGGATTCCTGTAATAAAAACGGGATGATAGTCCGAAAGTTTGTTTGTTTGTTTGTTTGTTTTTGTTTGCTTGCTTGTTTATTTATTTTTTTTTAATTTGTATGTGTGTGTATTTTTTCATTGTTTCGTGAACTAGCTCAAATACTAGGTTAATTGCAGAGAGATGTTAAAAATAGTTAATAAGGGACAAGCAGGGTTAGTAAAACTAAGAATATGAGTTGTGCTTTTAGCTTTTATCAGAATTAGGGGACGGGAAGGTAACGGAATTAAGTGACGTCATATGAGTTATATTGATACTCACAATAGGCTATTCTTCTGAAAAGCTGGTGTTAATCCAAGCTTACAACCATCTACTTCATCACATCGGATTCCGTCACCTGATCTGAGATATTCCGACATATTTCTGTCCCGTATAGTAGGACTCCCAAGTTCTAAAGAGTAAATATTTTACCTAACAGGTGCATTATGCTCGATCAATGTCGGTTATGGAATTTTCAAAGGAGCGTCGTCTGTAAAGCAACATTGTTCTTGTCAATTTAAACCACCAAACCAAATAACAAACAGCATGTCATGGTATATACGTAGGAAGTATCACAATCCTTACAAAGTTAACGTAGAAATAAGGGTAATCAATTTGGAATGGTACTTAAGAGCTACATAGGAACTATTTCTATATGCTTGAATTCGGTTAGTTCTCTAAAATGAATGAATGAATGAATGAACAAATAAAGGAATGAACGAAAAATAATAAATCACATCAAAATAATTTAATGAAGTATTTATAAAACGAATATGAACGAATGAATCGAATGGACGCACCAAACGAAATGAATGAATTAATTAATGAATTAACACTACTACTTTCACCTCACACGCATCAGATCTTATATTACAAAATGAGTATATAAAAACACAAGGAAGGCAAAATAACAAGAATGAAGAGACGAAGAAAATTCGGAGGTAAGGAAAAATAAGTATCTCAGGATCATATAAGGTACCCCATTGCGATATTTTCCATCAGACTTGTAGGTCACAGTCAGGATATTGTTTTGTCGACTATAAACATTTCTATGATAGAAAACCCGGAGGGAGGGAGGGAAGTAGGAAGGAAGGGCGGGATGGAGGGAGAGAGGGATGGATGGGGAGAGGGAGGAAGGGATGAATGGATGGATGGGTGGATGGAGGGATGGATGGATGGAGGGAGGGAGGGAGGGAGGGAAGGAGAGATGGTTTGATGGATGGATGGAGGGAGGGAGGGGGGAGGGAGGACGTTAGGGATGGATGAATGGATGATGGATGGATGGATGATGGAGGGAGGGAGGGAGGAGGGATGGATGGATGGATGGATGGAGGAAGGGAGAGAGAGAGGACGGAAGATTTTGATGGATGGCTGGAGGTAGGACGGGATGGATGGATGGATGGAGGACGGGATGAATTAAGGGAGGGAGGGATGGATGGATGGATGGACGAGGAAGGAAGGAAGGAAGGAAGGGATGGATGGATGGATGGATGGGTGGAGGGAAGGATGGATGAGGGATGAGGAAGGGATGGATGAAGCCAAATGATTTACTTTTGCGTTTGTTCACTGAGCCATGACGTCATCGAGTATCTTCTTTATCATATCTGTGATCTAATCTTAGTGAGGACTTCGCACTGACTGGCCTGACCTGATAAATTAAAGCGATGGCATTGATTTTAAGATCTTTTTCGGGCTGAAAATGGCATACAAATTACATGTAGGTTGGTACTTCAATTGTAAAAAGCTTAAACATGCATTTTTGTTTGATGAATATCAAAAGTTAACAAAAAGTTTTTGTCAAATTAATTTGAAAATTCTTACGCTTTCAAGTGTTTATTTTGAAAAGATGGTTTATAATCAGCAAGGCTAGTTCACTGGATTTTTTGCGGTACAAAGATATATAAACCGCTACATATATATTCCTATGTATTATGTATCTTGAATATGATAATCCACGGACTTGAAAAAGATTAAATCTAGAAGGTAGGTCTACTTATCGAAATAGAAAATATACCTTTAATGATGTCGTTCTTACTCGTTATTCGAACGATAATGTATCGTTATATTCAATATACAGTCGAACTTCAGAATCTCGAATTCATATAAATCGAAAACCCCATTTAATTCGAAATATTCCGTCGACCCAGGTCAAATTTCACACTAAGCCGTGTGAATACGAACTCTATTAAATCGAATACTCGGATAACTCGAGGTTTTCCCACTTTCCCGCCGACTTCGAGATAATCAGGCTCGACTGTATTGTTATTTCAATAAGCAGTAAGCTAATTTTTTTTGTTTGAAATTTAAACATTCTTCTTCATTAGTTCCAAACATTTTACTTCTTTTCTCTCTTCTGATTGGGTCCGATTCACCATGTCGACTTTTCGCCTAGCTCAGCGTCCGTTGTTTTAGAAGTCTAAACCTTTTCGGTAATAGCGAGCTTACAAATTATGAAAACTCCTAGATCTTTTCCTGTGTTCTAAACTTTCTGTGTTCTAAGAGTTCCGATTGATGGTTTTAGCCTGATGCACAAATGTGATAGCACGTGTTTTTCCCGTTTAGATTATACCTTGACTATACTATCTCCTCCTATTCTTTTCACTTATTTTTCCTTCATACATTTCACATCCCTTCTTTCTACTTACTGTTTTGTTATTTTTCACAAATTTACAAAGTATTCTATTCATTCATTTTCCCATTTGATGCCGTCCTAAACTTCATGTGTTACAAACGGAGACAGATTTATATAAATTGTAAAACTTGTTTCTGATTCCGATTCAAATGTGATTCATACTGCTGTGTTATATGTACATGTATGCATTTATGAATAAAACAACGTTTTTATGTCGAACATTTCTTAGATATCAACAAAGAAGTTTGGCTCTAAGTGACCCCTGCAAATGATGGGCCTTTAAACACAAATTCTTATGTCATTTTCTGATAAAGTCGCCAAGGTTCATGCTTGTTCATAAAACAAGCTCAAAATTCCCATATAATGGACGCTTATATAAACAGCAGTACACCAAGAACAAAGTAAAGTAACATGTCATTTACATTTCACACAGGATCAATATAAATATTAGACCACGTGTTTTTATTCAAGCAAATTTCAAGCATTTTGTTTAAACAATATGCTTTTTTTCTCCATGTTTCTAATCTTCGCTGTTTCATCTAAAGCTTGCTGATAGAGTGAAAATGGTGAATGTATCGCGAAAGTCGTAAAATCTATTGATAGTATTCTTCATCAGTATTTATTTCATTTTCAGAGTATCTTTTTTCCGCGGTTTTATTTTTTCCTCGGAAACCGAGAAAAAAAATCTTCGAAAATTGTCATTACAGTAGCAGAATAATTGTAAATTTGAGGATTTTTGGAGTAATTTTTACATGAAAACATTGTAAATGATGAAAATATGTTTACAATTGAGGTGATTTGCATCTCTTTATGGGTTTTACAAAATGACGTAAACTTCACGGCCCAATCATTTTCGCTGTCGTCCGCAAGTCTTCGGCGCTTGTCATTCGACGTATACTCACTGACAATAAATAAATAAATATTATTATCTGATGTCAATATTGAGATGCCTATTCCAGATAATTAAAAGTGCAAAACTACGGAAGCCAGTTAGTGCCACTTTTTTCATGAGTTAAATTTGTTTAAAGTCGTAATTACGACATAGCTATCTCGTAATTACGACATACTGTCTCGTAATTACGACTTAGTTATCTCGTATTTACGACTTAACTATCTCATAATTACGACTTTGTTATCTAGTTATTACAACTTAGTCATCTTGTGATATTACGACAAAGACCGAACTGTTTTGCGGCAATGTTTACTTCCGTCGACTCACACACGTGTTTTTGACAGATGGCATCGGGAGGTTCCCCAGTCCTGAAGGAAAAAGAAAAAGTATACAGGTTTGCATAAACTTACCATTTACTTCCTTCAGGACTGGGGAACCTCCCGATGCCATCTTCAATCCAACTGTTTCTTTCGAGTAGGAACCGTCAGAGAAAAAACTGTATTTCAAAGTGCTGTCATTCATCTCTAAATGATAACTTTAAGATAATTGCACGCACACACACACACACACACACAGACACACACATACACACACCCTCACACCCACCCTCGCACTCACCCCTCCCCCCCCCCCCCCCCACCCCCCCACACACACAGAGTGGTTTATCCACTTGAGTTCTAAAAGTTATACATTCGAATAAATTAATGTAATAGATATAGAATAAATGAAAAAAGAAATAAGTAAATGAAAATAAATAGATAAACAGATATCTTCAGTACGTTGTATGTAGACTTCGCCTTCTAATATTCTTACCCTTGACAAAACCCTGTGCCGCGGTGAAGCGCAGGGGCTATATAATAGGTTTCACGCACCATACCGTGTATATGTTTAGACAACTGGACTTACAGCGAACACTCACGAACTTTGATTACCCACAGTGATCGGACAAAACCGTCATAACTCGATTGATATACCTCATAATGTTCAAGTGACAGTGCTTACGTGTGAATTTGAAAAAAAAAAACCCAACAAAAAACAAAAACAAAAAAAAGACATATTGTACTATCAGATTGTGTGCTGCAAAGTTTAAAGAGAGGTGGCTCAGTTAACGTTATTTTATAAAAACAAGTGTTTTATTCCTATCTGATTTCCGTTTCTGTGCTGTGACCGAATTGTCCACTGAAACCGATTTCACCGGATCCAGGAAAAATCAAGATGGCCGCTATCTTTGGTGTCTGGGATTGGGTAGTATTTGCTTCCGTGCTCGTCATTTCGGTAGTCATTGGAGCTTATCACGCCTTTGTAGGAGGAAAGAAAACTTCAGGAGAACTGCTAATGGGAAGTCGGAACATTGGTTTTGTTCCCGCAGCGATTTCAATTATCGTTTCTTTTCAGTCCGCCATCTTGTTTCTAGGCGTACCGGCGGAGATGTACACACAGGGGACAATGTACTATATCAGCACTATCGGCTATGTGGGTGGAGGATTGATGACGTCATTAATATTTGTTCCATTGTTTTATCCCCTTAAACTTACTAGTGTTTATGAGGTAAGACATTTGCTCCGATAACTCTGGTATATTACTATGGAAACTTTAACTGATACCATATTTCACGAAATCAAATGTCACCAAACAAACTATGTGTTCTCATTAAATTTTCTGATATCTTTAATCTGATATTTGACTAAACTCTATTAATTGAAAACATCAACGCCACAACTGTATACCGTATATAAGAAAGAAAATTTTTCACTACTGATATTTTTTTCTAGCAGCCAGAAAAAAAATCATAACGGATTTAAGTTGTATAAAGTTAATGTCGTCTTAGATTTAACTTTAAAGATATTTATCTATTCTGTTGGATGTGGTCTACCAAAACACAAAAAAATAATTTACCAACATGCAACATACTCGTCATCCAAAATCTAGTCCATTAAAACTAGGGCAAAACATAAAGTTATTTTCAACGCTATTAAACTGATAGGATTTACGTCTTTGATCTCAATATTGTGAGATTTACCAAAACGTTAACGAAGGCCAAGTGGTCTTTTTCACACTATGAATTTTGAAGACCCCGACCCCCTAAGACTTTCGATCATAAATTCTTTATTTCAACATTTCTTTACAAGAATTTGAAAACGTTTTGTTTTTTTCCGGAAGATATTTTATACTTTTAACAAGCAACTATTCTTATATTTTATTTTGGCCATTTTAGAAATGAGTTAAGACTCAATTTAATCTTAATTAGCCAGACTACATTTTTCCTCGTTAGCAGTGTTTATTAAAAGCACACGTTGTCTGTCCTCGATACGACCTCGATTGCACGCGCACTTATGATCGACAATACGCACAAAAACTACACGGTGAGTGACATTTTCTTTTAGCATCTCATGTACATTTCCCGTGTTTCAAATCCGTTTGTATAAAGTAGTAAGTAATGATATAGAAGACTAGCTTATTGAAATTTACATTGTTCTCCTTCGTAACATTAATCAGTGGTCATGGCCATGCGATATCACGGACACATTGTCTTATCATTCAATAGTCAAACCTATTTCCCCGAGGTGTTGGGACCAACTCGTTGAATTGTGACCTCAGCACCCACGGGAGGCAGGTTTGATATTAAAGGCACGAAACAAATATTTAGTTACCATAATCATCAAAGATATGTAAAATATATAAGGCGTTCTTATTGATCAATAATATACCTGTATGCATGGGCGTGTGTAAGAATACTCGAGAATAAGAAAAGTAGTCGTTTGTTTATATAGGCTCAATACATGTACTGCTACAACTTTTCTCTGCTGGACTGTGCTCGTTGAAAGAAATTTCAGGGCCGCCATCTTGGTAAAAGAAATGACTTAACGACGTGGATTGGTCAATTTCTGATAAGCCTCGCTTTGATATTAAAAAAAATTCTCTACGCAAAGTTCTCATTGTAAGGAACAACAACTCTGGGTAATTTGCAAAACCACATCACAGACCTTGAGCATTCTCTCTGTTGGCGTCATGTATGTGGACAAGAAAAATCTGGTTGAACGAAACTAAATAACTTATGGTAAACATGTTATACCAACAGAATGCCTGGCCGATGTCTGTCATGTGGTTTTGTCATGAAATCCCTTCTTGACCTTCTTCTCTAGTTGATGTTGATATAGAGTGTCGCTATAGTTTGTTCCCGAAACTAGGTTATCTCCCTTATCGCGGAAGTCTTCAAATAGATAAGGGCACTTCCGGGGGCTATTGAAGCTTTTTAAACACTCTCCTGAGTTGATCGAACTATCGTATAAAGCGTTGACAAAGCTACAGAAATCGGAAGTAAATAACACGTCCTCTCGCGTCTGAGGGAAAGGGTAAACAAAAATGAAAGTAAATCAAAATGACAGAATTGATCGCATCGACTTGTCATTGTGTTTTCGAAGTGAAACCTAGCGGAGAGTGGAAAACACCATGGAAGGCAACCTTACATCGACAACCATAATAAGAAAGACGCTGCATCATAATCATTTTTGAACGCGTTTTTTTGCAAATTTCTCAGAAAACTGTAGAAAATGCATTTGTAATTCAAATAGAGTCAGGTAACAATAGTTATCTACGCTGGCTCCTTAAAGATAAGTAAATTTTCGCATAAAATTATCTACATTGTACCTAAATTTATGTGATTCTAATATGTAGTTTGTAAGAATTTTAAACAGGAACATTTTCGTTTTTCCAGTTTTACCAATACCCATTTAATGAACAGTGCCGTACATAGCAGATCGTGAATCGGTGAACGGTCAAGATTTTGGCGCCTCCGTCTTATCCAACTTTATGTTTCACATTTTGATTCGCCTGTAGAAAACACGGTGATCACTTCAGATTAATTGTTTAAAGCTATAATCGTGCAATGTTGTTACAAAGGTACATGCTTTTCGTTTTGTCGTCACTGTCCAGTCAGGATATGAAGATACGTTAATTTTCGGTACAACAACCATATTCGTGTCTTTAGATCGTTAAACACTTAATAAAGAAGCCTGTTTCAGGATTACTACATTCGCTGACCAGTTTAGGCTCTTATGTTCCCTATTACATTTTCTGGACATTTGTAACATCCTGTGTCAGAAGCAATCGACTGAGTTTTTATTAGTCCAATATTTCACAACTGACACAGATCGTATTGAGTCGTCATGATTGTGCCATTTGCCAAAACACTTAACACTGCAATGTCCTTTGGCAAGACACTTGATGCCACAAAGTCCTTTAGCAAGACAAAAACCACACTGTGTCCTTTGTCAAGAAACAGCCGCACTCTTTCTTTTGGCAATACACCTAACGCCACTGTGTCCTTTTGAAAGACACGTAACTATTTTCCTCTTGCAAGTCATTTGACCCCAATTAGTACTTTAGTAAGACACTAACCCCCACTTTGTCCTTTGGGAAAACACAACAATATTGTACCCTTTGCCTTTGCCTAGACACAAACACACTGCACCCTTTGGAAAGATATTCAACCTTACTGTGTCCGTTTGCAAGACACAACAACACTGTCCCCCTTGGAAAGTTGTTCAACCCAACTGTGCTCTTTTGCAAGACACAACCATATTTTGTTCTCAGGAAAGATATTCAATCTGGATGTGCTCTTTGACGAGATTCAACAACACCGTGTCCTTTGAAAGACATTTAACCTCACTGTGACCTTTGACAAGTTAAATTGGCATCCGGCATGTTGTTCAGTAGGGTAGCCACCAGATACTTTAATGAGACCCTCGGAATGATCCTGACGGATGCACAACATACATTAAAATGTTGCGTTACTTAATTAATGATTTTGATTTGTTTATTTTTGTAGTATTTGGAACTAAGATATAAGTCTAAGTCTGTCAGGCTTGTGGCCAGTACAATAAGCATAATTTCAACCGTAAGTATGTGTTTTATCAATCCAATAATATTCATTGCATGTAAAGTGTGTACATATCTTTGGACAATTTTGACATACCATGTGTTCGGAGAGAAGCTTTTTGACCCGGAAGCATTTGCCACAATATTTACTAAATTGGAAAAGCTATAAAAAGGTGGTCAAGTATTTTTACTTGAGCTGTGAGTGTTAATTCATATTTCAGTTGATGTTTAGTGGTTTCATATCGTATGCCCCAGCTACTGCGTTGGAACAAGGTAAGAAATATCTTTACGAAGAGAGGGATGTAAAATTGTAAACAAGGTACGAGCAACCTGAGAAATTATTTTTGAACATGAAATACGAAATACGATAAAAGGATATTTAGGATTATTATTTTTCCTATAAATTTTCGTACCCGAAAATTGTAGTGAACTTAAATTAAAGGGACTCAGTGGTTAGATTTTCATTACATAGCAGATAAAAAGTATTATAACATTTAAATATATGCAACTGAAAAAAAAAAAAATAAAAATAAAAAAAAAAAAAATATATATATATATATAAAAAACTGCAAAAAAAAAAAAAAAAAACTGCAAAAAAAAAATAAAAAAAACTGCAAAAAAAAAAAAAAAAAAAGGAAAGAAAATAAGTTAAACAACTCCTTACCGATACAGCTCAGTAATGAAATTGGACCTTAGTATTATAGACGTTTTTAGAATAGTAGAATACGTGTCATGGTAATGGACGATATTGATTATATAGGTTTAAACAACTCGGACAAGCTGTTTAATTAAAAAATAACAACAATGGGAAATAAATAAAATGCCTTTTCTTTTTCTTTTTAAGTGAGCGGTTTCCCGGTATGGGGATCTATCATTTTAATTGGCGTTATATGTGCACTTTACACACTACTGGTAAGTACAGTGTACATTTAAATCAACAAACAGAGATAATATCATCGTGGCCATCCAATATTTTCCCTTTCATCAGTCAACGTTGGAGATACATTTTTAAGTTTTCATAATTTACCCTTAATCCACAAAAGAAACTTGTAATCCATGGTATTCAACTTTAACTTAGTTTCAAAATCTTTGAAAAGTTGAAATCGATAATATTCAAACATCAGTCAAATTTTTAAATTCACGGATACATTTATTTATATATTTATTTATTGATTCTTTGCCAGATCAACAAACAGTTTAATGGTTTTGTAGAATAAATTTTGTGACAATGTCATCCGTTGTAATTTATCTATATTTAAAGGGGGGACTCAAAGCCGTTGTTTGGGTCGATACGTTCCAAGCTATGATAATGATGGCAGGTCTGTTCGCAATCACGATCAAGGTATGTCACCAATATTTTAGCAATATTAAGAAAGCATTGAAAATTACCAATCGCCAGAAAGAACACGATTCTTGAAAAATGTGAGTATATACTTCTTGTTAAGTTGTATAGCGCCTTCCTTGTTGACCATTTTTTTGCATACACTAACTCAAAACACGTTCATACACAAGAAAGTCCGGATTAAGGTATTATTATGAATAGATAAAAAGTCAAAGCCTTTAAAGCGTACATATCGAAATACTGTGTTTCTGATAGAGTTACCTCCCTTATACAAACGTTGCTGTGATGCGACCGTTATTGCCCAACCCCTACATCCTTCCTTTAAAAAAAACCAACAAATAAAATGAATAACGTCTAAATTCGACATTCAGTCAAAAAGTGTAATATTAAGAATATTTTACGCAACATTCAAAGTAGTGAAATTTCGGATCAATATATTTCTTTCATTTGTATAAAGATAACACTGTAAAAAGACGTTTTCACAATGCTTACAACATTTTTATTATTGCTAACATATCGTTTATTTGTGTTGAAGGTTTTTGATAATATCAAAAACTCTCTAAAAATCTAATTCGATACCCGCGCGGCCATTTCATGCTGTGATGTCAACGAAATAAATTTGAACCGAAGGGAATCCCTAGTTGTTTGGCTAAACATTTTTTTGTGCAAGTCTTAACTGAGAAGTTGAGGAGAGAAATCCCGTGACACATTTATTATTCCATTGTACTACTTAGTTACAGGGAACAGATTTTTAAAGACAGTGTGTTGCTGAATTTATTAAATAATCCTGACGGTTATGGGGTATAAAGTAACAATAAACCGTACCCTCATGAACACTCAGTGTCGGTTTGCGTTTTTCGGGGAGGGGGATTGGGGTTATGCGCTTGGGCAAGAGACTTTACACAAATTGCATTGAATAGCACGTGACGGATCTCACGTATCATGTAAAGGTTAGATTCCCCGTATTACAAGCTTTTCATTTCTGTTCCGTTAAAATGAACCACAACAGTTCATTTTCAATATTTGTGTGTTATCAGGCCATATTGGAGGTAGGCAACCTATATGAAGTCTGGCAGATCAATCAGTACTGGGGGAGGATACAGTTCTGGAAGTAAGATAACGATATGTACTTATTATAAATTACTTAAATGTGAAGTATTGAAAAATTATGAAAGTCATATCTTTGTTAACCATGTTTGTTAACTCTTTTCAATACATTGTATTTTTCATGGACGATTTCAAATTTTTCTTAGTTTCTCGTTTAATTTTTTATATTCAAATATAAACATTCAAGCTGAGGAAGAAATATTCAACCAATATTATTTTGGTAATTCTTCTTCAGTTTTGATCCGGATCCATCTGTCCGCCACACGTTTTGGAACCTTACAATAGCATGGGGTGTAAGTTCAACTGGTTACCTTGGATGCAGTCAGCCCAGTGTACAACGATTCTGCGCAACGAGGACCATTCAGGAGGCGAGGAAGTACAGTTACAACTGCCGCTATATTATGGTGCAACCGTGTGACATTGAAAGATTTTGAAGAGTTTTCTTTTTCAAAAAGGGGTGTCGGAAAACCCAACTGATATCAAAGGAATACATTTTTTTCCAGTTAGGACGTTGAGAGTGAAAGTATATCAGAGAAATGTTTGATTTTCTTGATCTGGACATTATGGGTTAAGTTGGTCCAATTATTCTTAATTTTCCCAGTATTTCCCCGATGGGATCTTGATAGATAAATTTCTGAAGTAACTATATACATTTTGTTCCACCATTACAGTGGTGTGGATGATATTTTTCGGCTCTCTAAATTTATAAATAAACTTCGGGGTTGACTTGGAGATTCTATGCTTCTTTGTCTTCAGGGCGGTATGAGTGAACTTGGACGGTAATTCTGTGGCATTTTATTTTCCGTCAGGTCGATATGAATGAACTTGAAAATCTCGTAATTCTGTGATTTTTCTCTCTCTCAGGGAAGTATGAGAGTGAATTTAAGCGGTAATTCTGTGACTTTTTTCTCGCATGCGCCAGCCTGAGTCGATTTTTCACCTGTACTGTTACTATAGATTATATATAGAGAAAATCTTTAAACATGAATAAAGCATTTTTTCGTTCAAATGACAGTGAATAACTTTATAAGCTTTCTCTCCCCCATATCACCGGTTAGCGTGTATTTTTCCCGATAGGTTAGTTTCTAAATTTATCCAGGATTCCGACACTATTTTTTTAAAAAAATAAGTGTTTAGGAATCTCATAGGTGTAGATTCCATTTTACGCTCAGGGCGGTATGAGTGTTGACTTTATCTCTCCATACTCAAGTGTAAATATAGCGTTCAATGATTTATATTTGATAATTAGAATTTTATACTTTAGTTTGTT